TATTAATATAGGAAGGTATATCCCACCTTTCTTGTGTTGATGCATCACTCAGAGCAGCTTTAACCAAGTTAAAAACCAGTGACAGAATATGCTTCTTTGAAAAGACAGACAGACAGACAGACAGAAAGCAAGAAATAGCAATCCCATGGCAAAGACCACCAAAAAAATACTTAGCAGACAAGAGCCTGCCAGGATAGCCATGTTGTACCAAATGAACAAAAGACATTTGGAGAAGGGTCCACCTGTCCCTTCATAATATTCTTTCAGGAAATGTGCATAAGAGTGCTCACTATTGGGTCTAATAAACAGTACTTATATGTATGTCATACATTACTATTACTATTTAGCAGGTGCATTAAAAAAAAGACTTCTCAATAATTCTAAAAGCCTGCAAAAATGGTCAGTTAATATGCTTAGCTCCTGCTTCTATTTTTCTTGGCCATGCCAGTATCTAACTCCAGAAACTTAGATGTTAAGGTCCTAAAGAAATTGACAGGAGCTGAAAATTATTTAACAATCACAAAAGGCAAAGACAGATATTTGCACCACTTAGTAATAATAACTTCAAATATTGAGATAATTGGACAATTGAAATGGAGCTAACTAGTTTGCACAAGGGAAAAGTTAAGTGCTTAAGGTCAGAGGCTGCAAACTCACAGGCCACAAGGCTTCTGCAGTATCCTGTGGAAAAAACAATCCCATAGAAATAATGTAATTATTTGTGAAACTGCTAGGAAACTGCAAATTATTATTAGACACCAAAAATACCAATGATGCACTAGCATTTCTGGCCATACGCAGAATACTGATTAGCCAACGGGAAGGGATATTTTATCTGTGATATGGTCTTGGTTTTGTTTGCCAGTCTTGCTGTGTTAATGAAACCACATGCACACATGTACATTGTGTATAAACCTCTCAGGTGTATATCATAATTTTAACAAAGGCAGGTATGGATGCAGCTAGAACACCATCTAGTCACAGTACTAGTAATACAATAAGCTTTCATCTTATGTTCCCTGAGGATGTGGACAAATATCTGGAGGGGTGAGGCCTACCACTTTAGATCCTTGCCCTTCCTGGTTGCTGAAACTGGCCATGACAGGACTAGAGACTTAGAAGGACGGAGGTGAAAGTAGATATAGTTATTCTCCCCACCCCCACCCCCAAAAAAGATGGCAGAAGAAACTTAGTCTGAGCCCAGTAAATTAGCTGGGATTTGCATGCCTTTTTCCTGTCTGAACTTGCATTGGACTGTGTTTTATTTATTTATTTAGAAAATGTCTATGCCGCCTCATTTGCCGAAGCCTCAGGGCAGCTTTTACAGGCTCAGTTCTGTGCATGTTTAGACAGAGTAAGTCCTACAACACTCAGAATTCCCCAACCAATTGTAATATGGTTTTCTATCTAAATATGCATAGAGTTGTGCTTTAAATAATTAAACTATCAGATTTTCTGTTCTGGAATACAGTGGTAGAACATGGAGGCTTTAAAAGCACTGATTATTTGGATCTATTCCAACCTGTTTTCAGGTCTGGGTTTCAAATGAATACAACTGTGGTTGCCATTGTGGGTGACTTACACCAGGAAATACACAAGAGAAATGCACGCTATTGGTTCTCCTGGACTTCTCAGCTATTTTTGATATGATTGCTGTAGTATCCTTCTAAGCTGTCTGGCCAGAACGGGAGGCAAATTTTATTGTAGCTCTAGTCTTCTCTGAAGCATTGGTCCCACAAGGGATGCTGGGGCAGGGGGGGATCTTCTGTTGCAGCCCATGAAATCACTTGCAGAAGTTGTCCAGAAGCTTGAGCTGAAGTGTCATCAATGTGTATGTAACATGTAGTTCTACCTTGTGTTTATAGCTGCTTACCCCAGGGAGACAGTGGAACTCTTGAAGGGGTGGAGGTGATCTGTGTGAACAAGTTGAAGCTTACTCCAGACAAGATGTAAGTTTTGTGAAAATGGCGACTTTGGATCCAGATTTGCATTTCCCTTGACAGATGAAGTTCATAGCTTTGACATCTGACTAGACTTAGCTCTGTGTTTGGAACCTCAGGTAATAGCAACTCCTAGGAATGCCTCTAATTATCTGAGGTTGAAATGCCAGCTATGTGACTCTGTCTAGAGGAGGGATCTAGCCTCAGCTCCCCATCCAATAGTGACATCCACATTAGACTGCTCTGATACGCTGTATCAGGGTGGCCTTTGCAGCTGTCTGGAAACTTCAATGGGTACAAAATGCAGCTTCCCAGATGTTCATGCAGGTAGAATGGTTCTAGCACTTCCTAAATGAATTTGTTCTCATGACAGCATTAGTGGTGTGTCCATTAATCTATCCTGAGAGATCTGTGGAACCTGATGGTGCCCTTGGGAAATTTTCCAGCAGGTAGGACAAGTGATTTCCACTGAGTCCTCTCTAGTTCTGCAGAGATTGTTCTGTTCTTGGAGCAATAGGTAATAAAACAGGTCAGACAACAACTAGAGCACAGGTGGCAGAAGTATTCCTCCAAAACCAACCAATTACTAGTTAGAGTGCAGAAATATATTTGCCATGTAGTGAAGTGATTGCCAAAAAGGCCTGTTTCACAGTCTCCACTGCATCCTTGGGTAACTGCTGAGCTAAGCTCTTTAGAGTGGTTCAGAAGTTGCTGATCTCAGAGGCTTGCTGTGACTCTTTTTCATTGTAGTTTGTGGATAAAGTTGCCTGGCTTTGAAGCAATTTAGATGTCACAGTTATTAGCTATCTAACTGAGGTATCCAGTGCTTCAGCTGGCCATGTTTTGTGGAATTGATTTCAGATAATATGACCTGATAATGTGGCCAAGGTGTTTCCAGCTATGCAATCAACCACCTGTGCCTCATTGCTAATTAAGGCTATCCAATGGGGCATGGCTACTTTGGTTGGAGGGGAAGATGATGCAACATTATGTAAAGAAGTGGTGCCTGTTACCTTAAAAAAGGAGACAGGGCAACTGCTCCTGAAGAAGTCCTCCTTGGACCCAAGGATTTGTGGTAGCCATTGCCCAGCCATGAATATTCCCCTTTTAAGGGAACTGTTTGAAAGGGTTGTAGTGCAGCAAGTACAAACATTGTTCAATAAAACTGTTTATCTAAACCTATTCCAGTTTGGTTTAAGTCCTTGTATGGGGGGATGAGTAAGGGGATCATCTTATCAAGAGAGGGATGGTGGTGTACATGTGTATGAGGAGCATTCGCACTTCTTTTGGTTTCACTTTCCACTTCTTGTAATACATTAACAATGATATCCTCCTGGATCAGCTTCAAGGGATGTGTACTGGGCACACGACTTCAGCTCCTGTTTACAGCATCAGTCACAGCAGGCAGCATTAGGGGAATACACTTTGATCCCCTGGCACTTGTGCTATTCTAACCCCCCCCCCCCCATTGCTGTTTACCATTTCTATGAAGCTGTTGGAAACAGTCATCTGAGGATTTGAAGACTTGTCATTAATGTGCAGATGGCACCTGTCTATTGCACCCTAACATCTGAATCTGGCATAGCTGTGTAGGCTGTAGACTGGTGCTTGGACACAGTAACAGGCAGGATAAGGGCCAATAAACTCCCTCGGAAGGAATAGGTGTGGAATTCTTGAGTGCTCCTAGATCCATGTGTATCACTAGAAGGTTTGAGAGCAATGAGCCTTTTATCAGCTTTGGCTAGATTGCAAGCTGCACTTCTTTGACCATGACAGCTTGATGAGGGGTGGTTTGGGCAATAGTAAACTCAAGACAGCATTATTATGATGTGCTATATGCAGGGTTATCTTTGGGCCTGGTCAGGGAAGTGCATTTGCTGCAGTATGCAGCTGCAAAGCTACTGACAGGGGCCTCTTTTGGCAGTCTATTACACCTCTGCTGAAACAACTGCAGTGACTACTGTAAGCTACTTGGTCAAGTTCAAGGTTTCATTGTTATCATAAATCCCTAATCAACACGAGACCAGATTAGCTTAGCCATTGCCTCAGTCCTTATGTTGCTCTGTCCAGTCCTTGTAGATCTCAGGGGGAGTACACTTTCAACTTTGTCTCAGGTTTGCAGTAAAAGAGTTGTTAGTGTTGCAGCACCCACTTTCTGGAAGATGTTCCCCATTAATATTAATCTGTGGAATGTGCTCCCCAGAGAGGTCTGCTTGGCACCGTCATTATTTGCTTTTCGGCGCCAGGCCAAGACCTTTTTATTTAAATGTTATTTTAATTGATTGTTAAATTAATTATTGCTTTTATCTAACTCTGGGATGTTTCCAATTCTGTATATTTTTGTATATTGTTATTTATTTGTTGGAAGCCGCTCCGAGGCTTATGCGAATGGGGCAGCATACAAGCACTCCAAATAAATAAATTAAAATAAATTAAAATAAAATAATATTGAATTTTTAAACATTGCTCTGATTGCTCATTAGAAAGCAGCATATAAACAAATGTGAACACATACAATGTGAAATATATAGGAAGCAGTTTGACTTAGTTATGCCAGGATTCAGCAATGGAATCTGGCTCTCATATCACAGCTGACATCTGCCATGCATGCAGTGATGAAAACGTTTCTAAGCATGTGCAGAGTCACTTGATCACCAAGTTCCTACATGCATGCAGGGCTCTCTTCCAGCAGAGATGGCATGACCTCCACATACGGTTAAGTCTAGAAAACTCTCTTTTTAGAAACTACGCACTGGAGAGAGGGATCCCGTCTGCCCCATTTCCTTAACCCCCACCCACTCATCGTGCTCTGAGGAGCAGTTGCAAGCTCCTTCGCGCTACCAGGCCTCCACATTTTGCCGCAATCCCGACAGCAGAGGGCGCTCGAAGGCTCACTCGTCGCCATGGTTACCGCTGGGTGCGTAGCGGGGCTTACGAAGCTGACGCAGTGGGCGGCCCGGCGGGCGGAGGCGGCCCTGGCACGGGCGGAGGCGGCATTGGAGAATCGGGGAGGGGGGCTAGCGGGCCCCGGGATGGCAGCGGCGGCGGCGGTAGCTCTGGCCCGGTGGCGGCGGCGCCGGAGGCGGCGGCAGAGGGGTGAACGGCTACGATGACGTGCCCAGTTCGGGGGACTCAGAGACGACGGCAGTGGCGGAGGCGATGCCAAGGCGGATCCAAGGAGGGCGGATGCCCCTTCGCTCTGCGGGTAAGGAGTGACCGAGCGCCTCTGGCCTGATGGGGGAGGCTGGCGGGGCCGAGGAACGGAGACCTCCCCCTTGTTCGTTCCCGGGGGCGGGTGGGAAGCAGAGGCCGTTGTGGCGCCCACGCGGGAGTGAGCAAGGCTCCCCCCTCCGTCCTTGCCCTGCGCGCCCTTCCTTGCCTTGCCTTGCCTTGCCCGCCTTGCCCTGCCCGGCATATGGCAGCGCGCCTAGAGGGAATCGGTGCCCTCCCCTCCCCTCCCCTCCCCCTCACACAGTGCCACGGCTGCCGCCGCCGCCGCCGCCAGAGGTGGAGGGCCCCGTTGCCATGGTGAAGGGGAAGCATCCCTCCTCCCCCAGCTCCTCCGGCATGAGAGCTGAGCGACCCATTTGCCCTCGTGCCCAAACAGGTGCCTTCCGCTGCTGCTGCTGCTGCTGCTGCTGAGGCAACCCCTCCGCCTTGCCAAGCCCGGCAGCGTAGGGGTCCGAGCGTGGATACCTGCTGCTGTTCAGCGCGGAGGGAAGAAGCAGGACGTGGAGGCGGGAGGAGGAAGTGCATCCTTGGATGGTTCGTGGCAATGGCTCTTCTTGTGGCCTTAGCTCGCTTCTCCTTTCCTCTCCCCGCTTGCTTCCCAGCGCCCGCTTTCCAGTATTAGGTAGGGTGCGGGCTGTTGCGGGATCATGTGTCGGGGAATTGGAGGAGCTCGATTTGGGCTCCGCAGCGTGTGGAAGTGCTGTGCAGCAGTCGTAGATTGATTTATCCATGTGCGCGCATGTCTGTGTGTAAATGTGTAAGGGAGGAATTTATGGCCTTTGGTTAAGCATTTTTATAAAATTTTTGGCTGAATTTAATTTGGAAGGGTTTTCACTCCTACCCCCTCTCGTGATGGATCTGTGAGCGCTGCCTCTAGGTGGGGTTTGGGGCTTAAAGCTTCTTACTTTCTTTATGCATTCTTAGGTTCTTGTCTTGGATTTCAAAAGACACTACGATTTCTGTTTGTTTATGTACTCTGGGAACTGAATTTGTATTCGTAAATATTTACTTTGCAAAAAAGAGGGATCTTTTTATGTCTTGGCAGGAGGGTGGAGAATTTTTTTTTTTTGATTAATCTCTAAATGTTGCCTCCACAAGGAAATATCCATGGAATTGAGCTATTATGCAACATTATTACTAAAGGGAACCAATTGAAAGTTAGGTGTGCTTATATTACATTGAAGTCAATGAGACCTTGCCATGGTGAGATTCTATGCAGATTTGCTTGAAAGAGCAGAGTTCTGTGAGACACTTCCAAATGTACATAGGACTGTAGCCTTATTTCTATTGATTTAACTAGGACCCAAAGGTGCCTGATTGTTTACAAGATCCTGAGTTTATGTTGTATTGATACAACACAATACACATTGAACTGGAAATAAGACAGGCTTAAGAACAAATTGCTTCAAAGAATATGTTGTTTTAGAAAGACACAGAATTGTCAAAATGGAATCATGCATTAGTCTGTAGCAAGTGTGCAAATATGATGTCTACATCTGTACTATATACTTGATCATTTTATATTATCTTACATACCCTTATTAATAGAAACTGGTAATGCTGGAGAGAGGATATGAATCTTTGAAGCAGAGAAAGGAAGCCTGTGCAAAGGAAGGTCACATGGTACATATAGTGAAGAGCTTGGAATACAATTTTTATGGGTGGTGTTCCATCCAGTGCATTGGATTGTGCCATCTCTTTGGATGATATACAGTGATATTCCTAGAGAAAATAGTGTTTACAATGGCAGTAGATAACAGAGCTGCTTTCTGGGAGTATAAAGGGATAACACTGGATGTATCGGTGATTTGATGACATTAAATTATAGGATCAGGTGCATTTGTTTCTCCTGGGTTGCTGACCTGGAACAATGGGTTAATTTTGAACTGTTTCCAAGAAACTCTTGCTAAACAGAATAAGTCATATAATTCAGTATTATAATGCATAATTAAGATTGTGAGTACAGTGTGCACTGTGGTACTATGGCTCACAAACTTTATGATTTTGGAATGTACATTTTGTTTCATTAATCTGTTACAAAGTTATCCTCATGCTGCTAATGATACATTTTTCCCTTCTTTAAGGAGAGTCCATGTCTGTAGGGATAAATTTGCCTATTATACTACACTCATGCAAATAAAAATGACTTTCAGGACTTGAAGATTTTGCCCCTGCCCCATCTGTAAAAGTAGCATAAGATCCATGAACACTACCAATAGTATCAGCTAAAGGTAAGCCAAGCAGATAGGTCCCCTTCAAGTTTTTTTTTAAATCCTCCTGCATTGCAGAGTGAAATTGTATTCAGAACTGGTGCTGAAACTACTGCTAACATTGCCATAGTGTGTTCTGCTAGTAGTTTAGTTAAAGTCTTCTCATACTCTAAAATTCAAGGTCCTTCTAATAGTGAACCACCTTTTTAACTTTTGATCATGGTTTATTTAGAGTACCTTCTACTTTGTGAAGTAAGTAGAAAAAGTCTATTGTAAGGTGCTGTTGGTACTGATCATATCTCCCCTTACTATCCCCAGCCCATGCCCATCCGCAATCAGCCCATGTTTCACCGTATGCTTCATCATACATTTGGCAATGCCCCCTTTTAAAAGAAAAAATTACTTTTTAAAATAAAGACAAAAACGGTATCACATGGTGCTTCAAATGGGGTCTTGGCTTGAGCCCAATTTGGGCTCAGCCTTGGAATATATTACATTGTCTGTAGTAGGCATGAGCCCTAGAATATGTGGTGTAAATAAGAGTTTCTGAGCATATGTTTTTACATCAGCTTATCTTGCAAAAGTATGCAGAAAAGATTTGCCAGAGATTATTGGGAGAAAAAGTGTACATTAAGCTTTTAATAATAGGTTCAAAATATTGTTCCTAAATTTCTGAAAAGCTATGGACAGGTTTCTCTGTCACATAGACCTCCCATATTTATTATGAAGCTAAAATTTTATAGTTCTCTGATATGATAGTGAGGTTATAATATTTCATATTGGTAGAAGAAGCAAAGATTAGTGTTTCTGCCATCAGATTGTAAAATAAATGTTTTGAAGGAGTGGTAGCTGAGGGATAACAGAATGGCAGTCATTGCTTACAAATTGCAGCTTGTGGCTTTGGTAACACATACATGTCATTTCTTGGTTTTCCCATTGGTTGTACTGGTTTCTGCTGCGTTATCTGTGTGGTGAGATGAGTTGGTGTTTCTCTGAAGATGGCAAAAAGGCTCCAACTTGGTCTTAAGTGTTCAAATTGTACTCTCCTATAACATGCAATTTCTCAGCTAGAATATAAACCACAGTTTAGAAGGTGTGTAAATGGCACAGTTATCTTTTGGATTGTGCCTATGAATTATATATACTCTAATGTTGTGAACTTTAAACATTTTGATTTTTTTAACTTCCCCCACTTCTTTAGAACCTTAGCACTGTACCACTGAAATGTGAGAGAACTCAAACAGCCTTTAAAAAAAGAAGAAGTGGCAAACATAAACAAGATTACCATTGTTCTTTGTAACAGTGATGACAAACCCTTGCCAGTTTAGGGCCCAAATTCCTTTTCAGAGAAGCTAAAGCTGCATCGCAGTAGTGCGTGGGACCAGAGGCAATTAAAAAAAAATCCATTCCATTATTACCCATTTATAGTAGGTAACCAGCCTACTCAGAAGGAAACATAAGCAACCTGTCCAATTACAGATAAGCAGGACAAGCCCCTACAACTCTACTTAGAAGTAGGATCAAATGATAAAGCAGCTTTTTTAAATAGTCCAAATATCAAACCTATTAATATCCACTTAGAGGCAAGCACGGAAAACCTCAGCATTTCTACTCAGAAATAAGCACTACAGAGCACTGTAATGCAAGGTTCAGACAGAAGGAGGACTGAATCTCTCAGCAACTTCCTCTCCAGCTCAAGAGTGGATTAATCCAAAACAAGGTAGTTTAAATAATACGTTTAAATCACGATTTAAATCAGTAAAAGAAAGTTCATTTTAAAATCACATTTTAAACCAAGTTTGCCACTGAAAGTTCATATTTCTTAAATGATGGTGCAGATTTGTTCACTAAAACATGTTAATTTACAGTTCAGTACAGCATTTTACAAACTGTAGGAGGGTATATTGCCAGATAGGCTCTCTTTTATGCCCAGAAGCCATTTGTTTTTGTGTGACAAAGTATAGATTATATAGGAACTGTGTGTACTATAACATCCTAGCTTTTCTTTCCATTTCACTCCACTATTCCTTTTCTCTCTATCTCTCCTTTATTGTCATTTTGTCCATTATTGTCGTCCAGCTTCACCACAACATAAGCACGGAACAATAATAAGGCAAGGCCATCCAGCCTTTGTATTTGGACATGTGATTTTATTCACCGAAATATATGAAGCCACCTTACTTTGACTTGGTTTGCACAATCAAAACAAGCCCTTGTGGCCTTTTTAAACAGCTGGTGTATACCGGACATGATTAGCCATTTACTCACACAGTTGTGGCTTGTCATGTTAGCCAAGCCCAGGCAGCTTGACTTGTTTGTGGGGGAAACAACCCTCAAACACCCCAGCTGACATGACAAGCTGTGCCCAGACAGATAATTACCTGGGTAGCTTCAGCTATGGGTGGTATACAAAGGTAATCATAATCATAATAATTAGAGTAATGGCACCTGGCATGCAAGATCAGTTTAAACAAGCCTGTTGATCTACTGCTTCATAGAGCACAGTATTGATGACACTGCATGGTGGTGGCTGTCTGGGTTTTAATGGAGGAGTCTTTTTAAACCCTTCCCAGAAATGCTGGGGATTATGTGAGGACTTCTGCATGTAAAACACAGGTTCTTCAACGAACTATGACAATATCAGCACTTTTGTGAGAAGAAAAAGTGAAATGAATGCCCATGCATGATTGGTATGAGTGTTACAGAGCCATTAATTCATTTTTATGAGACTGTAAACATGTTTGTGATCAGAATTCATTATAAC